CCACGCATCAACCAGAATTTGAGTATATTTGTTCAGGGCCATAGTAGAGCACCACTAAGTAGTGAAAGAGGAAAATCACCATTGCAATTATGGATTCAAGGTTCAATGACACACAGTAATCGGGCAATTGATGAGCAATGGAGTATGGTAAGTCTTACTCATAAGGCTCTCATCCACTCATTGCAAAAACTTATCTATTTTAATGAGATGAAAGCACTTGCAGCGAGCTTGTTAGTCCATTTTGCAATGAGTGGAAAAAAGCCCTAATCCTATACTCACATTTACCAGGAGCAAATTTTCAACATTTCACTGTCAATATCACTTTCTAGGAAGACAATGAGTACTATGGAGTTGATTGGGATGCACCAGTCCCAAATAATGAAGATTTGAATGTGTCCTCTAATGCCATTGAAGTTCCTGTTACTAGCATTCCAATTTCTGAAGAAGCCTATTTTCTTTTAAGAGAACAAATTGATCCATTAAGAGACAGTGAGTCACATGGTGTTGATATTTATTTAGAAGTATTGTCTTTCATAGCAAATTAATATAAATTTCCACTAATATTCAGTGTCATTGTACATCATTGTCATCTCAAACAAAACAAGTTATCAATCATTATTCACATATCTCTATATTCTTCCATATCCAGTAGCTTGTATGGAAAGTGTTGAATCGAATGCTTTCTTATAATCTTCATAATTGTTCTGAGTGGTTGGGAGTGTGATGATTGCAGTACAGGAATCAACATCTGGCAACTTTACTCCTTTTTTGCCAAATTTAACAGTTAATGATTTTGTTGGTGGTAGTGGGTCACCATAGATAAACTGCACCAGCTTCTCCAAGGTCGCTTGGTGAGGGGAATCTGAACAATTAATTAAAAGTTGTATACCATATTTCTTAATGACGTTTGAGATATTCTAGCTCTGACCAACATATTTTTAATAGCAGGAGTTCAGCTATCAGACTTAGGCCACAATGGTTAAAATTGCAACAGCATTCTTCAATTTTTTATCTGAAGTCTGTATGTTCACATTTTTTAATCCTGAATCCCATTTCTAAAACCTTTCCTAAAACCTCATACAACTACAAAATTGTTTTGCTACATTTCTCAAGCACTTGAATGAATTTCATTTCAGAATTGCTGTGAATTATACCTGTTTGTGAATCTTTAAGAACTTCATTAATGTATCTTTTAAACCAACACAGTGATTTATTTTCCTCTTCACTGAGCTCCTTCAGGTCTGACTTCAATTTTATTTTCTTAAGCAAGTCATCAGGAACAACATTGATTTCCTTCTGATAGGAAAACGCTTTACTAATGTGGATCGGGTTTTCTTTCAGGAATGTTGCCAACCCCACAGAATTCATACCCCTTCGAATATCATTCAACTCTGCAATCCGCATTTTCAAAACGTAAAATATCAAAATATCTTGAACAGCCTTTTGTCTATTTTCAAGGGTAAGCAACTTGTTGACAAACCCGCTTGTAAGAAGAAGGTTCATAACTTCATCAGACATGGTCAACATTTCCAACTCTTCTTTATCCGCAGTCATCACCTAAGAAACAATTATGTAGTAAAATGTTTCACAGATTTCAAACTAAGCGTTTTTCTATGCTATAACTACACAATAATTCATCCATAATAACATGCAAAATATATATCTATTGTGTTACAAACCCTGTGAAGGGTATCTTTGATGATCAAATCAGGTAGATCATCAAATGTAATTTGGGGAATTCCTTCCTCAATTGAGCCTGTTATGATATAGGTAACAACTGGCATAGCCATTCCTACGAATGGGAATCCTTGATGTAAAAATGAATGGGCTATCATTCTTCCTGCATAAAAGAATAGATTAGACTCAACAGCTTCAGTGGAGTGCAAAGGTAAGAGATGGTCAGGTTTCCCCTCGAACATAGAGATTCGCAAGTCACCAGACATCAATGTTTGCATTGTTAGATGAAAATATTCCTTTGTAGGACCAGACGCATCCATTCCTTCTTCACCAATGAATTCAACATCTGGCTTGTGACATATTTCCAGTCCCCTTTTATGCAATTTGACTTGATCAGCTAGGAATGTTGTTGATTTGCGGTTAACTGAGATTAATTTATGTCGCCTTTCCTTGACAACTCTTGACAAATAAGACTCTAAGGAATCTCCTACAGACATATTGAACATACAATGCATTAAATAATGCTAATTTTTTATAGTAAAAGGAAAATGCTTGTTTGAGAATATATAATTGTGAGACGAAACATAGTCTCACATTGTCATTTGATTTCATTTTCAAGTGTTGCTTTCCTTCACATTTTTTTCAACATTGAACATTGGGCTAGGATGTTCATGACAAAGCACCTCTTACTAAAAAGAAGTTACACATTCAACTAACCTTCATTTAAGTTGTCTGTAATAAAAATTTCATCATCTTCATCACTCCCCAAAACTTCTTCTACTGTAAATGTAGTGGAGCATATTTCAATATTTATTGCTAGTACTAATTCTGAGCACAATAATTATAGGCATAAATTATTTGGAATAAAGATAATTATATAGTTTTGTAAAATAACAGTATTCATGAAAAGCTCTATGTTAATTCTTGTTCAACATGACATCTGTGCATGACATGTGTAGCATGGGCTCATTTCATGCAATGCCATCATTTTAGCTCAAATGAGCTTTTTATCATAAAAAATATTGATTAGACAAATGGATATAGTTATCATGATAACTCTGAATATTGAACATTGATAGGAGAGAAAATTATGTAAATTGTACTTATTTTCAAAACAGTCAATATACAGGAAGAGCATCAATATTCGTACCATCTTTTAAATCAGCCAGCTGTGATGCTGCTAAACTTAGATCACCATTTGATGCATTGTAAAGTTTTGTAATCAGTTCTTTCCGAATATTTGGGAAAAGATCCTCTAATTTCTTAACTTCAGTGATGGCCTAAAAAGTTAAGTAATATATGTTAGTTAATTAAGTTACAATTTATTATGTGAGTTACAATTTAATATATAATCAATATATCATATAACTTATATTTCTCATGCATATAACCTTGCTTGTCCCAGGTTCATCTGTTACTTGAAGAACATTGCTGCCAGAATCTGAAAATGTCTTAGCAAATACTTGAGGCTGCTTAAAAAAAACATTCATAAGTTATAAGGATAAGTTACAAATACCATAATTGGCAAATTTCCTTTAGGTTGTACAAAATATTGAAATTTACCATTGGTGATGTGCTAAAGTCAACAGTACTGGATGGTCCACCAGGGCACTCTTGGCTGTGCTGGGCCCATTTTAGGACAGGAACCTTTGCCTTACAGTCTACACATTCAATTTTTAAAACATCATCCCCATCAAGATTAATCTAAATATATATTGAATAACTATATGAGGTTCTGAACTATTGTTGCTTTTTAAGTTGCTGTAGGGGGGGATGTGCTGCAAGCTGTGGCCATGCCCTTTTCCCGAATGGGCGTGGTCCCAGATTGCAGCCCCCCAATCCAAATTTCCTTGCGACAGGCCTGCACGTACTAAATGGAGGAAAAACTGTACAGTTTTACATAAATGAAACAAACAACTGTACCTCTTCCGCTTGATTGAAAATTTTGCTTAGATTTCTCTGCAATGGTCTAATATAAGCAAGTGCTTGACCAAGTCCAGAAGAATCCCTCAAAAAGGGAACCGAATACCCCGTTGGCGGAGGTTGAATTACAGTAAGGGAGCTACTGTGACCTCTTGATCCCGTGCGGAGAATTTGAAAGCCACCTGCTTCTGACAACTTTGGATAAACTTCCAGTAGCTTTTCTTCCAGCTTTGAGTGGTCTGCTTTTGACGGGAGGCATAATTTCTTGCGACCGAGACCACAATTTTGCAACTGTATTTTTTCAGATCTGGAAGGAACATTGGTCTGATTTTTTTCACTAAGACAAAAAAATTCATGAGTCCAAGTTTCTTTGACCGCGTAATATGGTTTATAGCTGATCGTTTTCGGGCGTTGAGCGCGTTGGTAAGCCGAAGCCGGGGATATTCTTGTTCGGGCATACGGTGAAAATATAGTACGTAGATGTTGTAGCGTTGACGGTGGCGTAGTTGATGGTGGCGTACTTGACGGCAACGTAGTGGAAGGCGACGTTGTTGACGGCATAGTTGACGGTGTGGCCGCGGTAGACGTGCTTGTTGGGCTGTCAGTGTTAGAAGAAACGAGCAACATCGTCGCCTCGTTTAGTAACTCAATCGCTCTTTGTGAATTTTTGTTTTCGTGTGTGATTTGAGGCGACGAACCTGGCGCAAAATCTTCTGCCATAACGATATTTATATTTTTATTTGCATATACGCAGAAATATTTGCAAAGACAGAAACACACGTGGTAACGTTAAGGCGAATTGGCGAAAACCCGCAAGAAATAATGCCTGGAAACGAGATTGCCGAAGACGATTTCGCGGGCTCAGGGAACGGCAAAATTAATAAATTATGTTATTCAATTTCAAATTATGTTATTCAATTTCAAATTGTGTCAACAAAATTAATAAATTATGTTATTCAATTTCAAATTATGTTATTCAATTTCAAATTGTGTTATTTAATTTCAAATTGTGTTATTTAAAATTGCATTAAATCTTAAATAATGGCACTTCTTAAAATGAACATAAGTTGAGTGCAAGAATAATATAATATAAATTTGAATTATGACCCTAATAACGCTTCATATGATTAGGCCCATACAACTTGCAGGTTGGTTTATGTGAGAACAAACCTTGTCAGCACAGTATATATAAAACTGGTATGATACTCTACATGACATGCAATGATGTACTGTATACCATTACTGTATAACATTAGGGTAAACTGATTTACAAAACTGAAAACATATTAACCATGATATATTTACCCTGCTTGAAAGTCTGATATTTGATCTGTTGAAATGCATGACGATCTACTTCCGCATTCAACAAATCCTTAACTCCCTTGCATTTCTTGAACAACTCAAATGTCTAATGCTTTTCTTTCACATTTGGGTCTTCCCCTTTTGGCCTTTGATTTCTTGTTATCCAAATGATCTGAATTTGATAAACCAGGAACTGATAGGTGTGTTGCAATGCTTGTAAGCACAACTTCTATGGCTTTGACTGCAGAGATAAGAAATATAAATTGATTGTAACCTAATTGTATAATTCACAAGAACTTAATTCTTATGACAGATTTTGCCAAGGTTTTGAAAGATGTTTAATTGGTAATGCTACTGTGTCATGTAAAATGACTGACTTGCAGGATGCAACCTATATGCCACCATGCAGAAACCCTCCTCATAAAATAATAACTAAAGGATAAACCATCAGAAATTTGATACATGTATAAATTATATACATGTAATAGTAAGAAGCTATTGTTGAACTTCCAAGCGGTTCGCCAGAATTCTCCTAGTATACTGTCTAAAAGATTGGTTGCAGGCGGCAGTCTTTATTGTAGGCTGGTTACTAACCCGACCAATCTGCCTACGAAACATGACTGCTTATAGGAAGTGTGTCATAACATTTTAATGCCCATGTAAACATTGATTTATTTTTAGTAACATGTACGTGCATTGATATTTTAAATACATTTTTAAAAATTTTCAATAAGATTTAGAGATCATTAAGTTGTACACAAACATTACCCTTTAAAATATTACTGTGCTTTATCCCCCTGTTCAATATATGTTTGCAATAGCATCGTATAACTATTACGATTTTTATAATTTTTGCAACAATTTGTAACCTTTTTATTGATGAATAAATTCTCTTCGCCCCCGTTCTCTTGAATTTGTGCTAGCTTTAAAACGCGCATGGCTAAATTGCGAATAAAGTACTTCATAAAGTACCTATCTGATAACCAATCATAAAAAGATTTAACTCTTGATCGTTCTCAATAATGTCTTTTACTGAAAACCAAAAGGCAACATTGCTTGCTTATTTCAACAATGGTATGGTTGGTGTAGGAAGGAATTTCTTTGGCCAAATTTCTGCTGAAACTGGTCACCCGTTCCACACATTATCAGCAATATTGTATTGTAATTATCAAAACATTGTCAGCAATAGTATATTGCATTGTTAAGTCCTCATGACGAGTGGAGGACTGGAACTTGGCAGGAGAACCAAATTTGCCATTAATTTTATAATTTTGCAATTTTCGCTAGATTTCTGTAGAGTTTACTGTATCACCTATATTGTTTTCAGTTTTGCTATTATGTGCAAAGAATCGTCTTATTCAGGAGAGAAGGTACAATTTAATGCATTAAAATTGTTAATCTAAAAGTGTAATTTGGTGAAAATTGATGATCTTTCATATCATGAATTATGTATTATTTTACTAATTTTAGTATAAAATCATTGAAACCTAAAAATAGAGTTGATGGGAACCCAAAGCAGTGGCCTATCCCAACAATTCTGTACGAAATTTGGAAATACGTACTGCAGTACAGCTGTGTACTCTATTATATATTATGTGTTATACTATAATGAATATAATCTATTATTATTCAGTATGGTATGTATGTGTAAACATACTTCTTTTTTATTAAAGCCAAATTGGCTTTCCTTATAAACTATATATTGTAAATCTAGTACTCTAGCTTCAACTGATGAATTTAAACTACATATGACAAGAAATTACAAGTTTGATGGATGGTTGTAAACATATTTTCTTGTCACTATTCTGTAAAACATAACAGCACTGTGTGATAGGCTGCAAATTCTATGTTCGTGAATGTGCACTTTATTAAGTTGTAAAAGTAGGTCATTTACCATTTTACAACTAGTCTTGATCAATAATGTTATTTTAATGCAATGTATACATCCTCATCTGTCAATGGGCAATTTGCATTATAGCAATGCATCATGGGAAAAGTGGTAGGCATCACTTGCAAGCGAAATGGCCGCCGATGAGCGAGCATTTTGAATGCGAGGGAAATTGCTTGTTTTTAGCACTTTGTCACCTGAGTATGACATTTGAAATAAGCGAGATGTATCACTTAGGCTATAAAGTGTATTTTGGGCGAAATATAGCGAGATCGAAAGAAAAATGGACGAGAAATTTAATATTGAATTGTCGATTTGGTGCAGAACGAAGGTAAATATATAGGATGAGAGGAAGCTTCTTCCCAACGTTTTCAGGTGAGTACGCTCGGCAATCGCCCGTGTCTTCACCATTTTTCCTACATATATGCGTGTGTAGTTTTTGGATTTTGAGCTCATAAGATCGCAAAGATCGAGCAGTTCATAAGGATTTATTCCCTTCTTGAAATGGACAAACGCAAGTCGCGATGTTCGTTGCCCGTTCAATCCAGCATGGTTTCCAATGCAATGTTTTTATAAATATTTTGGCGCGAAAAGAAACTAAACCAAACCAACCTAAACCGGTTTTTTGAAGCCCCGGCTCTGTTGCATTATATAAACGCCAAGTAAAAAAGCGTTTGAGCTGTTTTAGCTGTTGTTTTATATTTCTGCTTTCGTTGTTGTGCTAAACTCGCTTCCTGTCAAAATAAACAAGTAGGTTTAGGTTGTTAAATTGTATGAAATTTTAATATATCGGTAACTGAATAGTTTTTAGATAAATAATAAATTTGTTTTAGGCGATTACAATTTTTGAATGAATAAGTTGCTACTTCAAGTTTCATGCAACAAGCAATCATCAGGCAACATACTAATTACGGTTAAGATGTCACGTATTACTACTCGCGATGTATTTGCTAACACGTGTTCGTTTAAACTTCCAGCGTGGAATTTGCGCGCGTGCACACATTTTGTGAAAAGCTCACTTTTTTTGTTTAAGTTAGACCGAGAGTAACAATTACGTAGTATTTGCAATTTCTCCTCTCAACATAAATTACACGATTTTCCTCCAGCCTTGATTGAATTTGCTAGGGAAACGATAGAACACTTAATATTATATTGTTTTTCATTTTGTTTCAATTTGCTTGCAAACATGCTTTGATAGTTCTGTTTGTTTTTCGTATCTAATGTTGTTGAATGACCTCTTGTGATTTCTGTATCTCTCTTTAAATGTTGTCGCTGTCATACCAATGTATGTTTTCGTTTCCTTCGGGTCTTCGGCTTCCACCTTGGCCTTATAAACTAGATTTTTTGTCAAGCACATCTTATTTAGCGGGCACTCGTTCATGTTCCTGCAGTTACATAGGTTTTCATTTTTGTTGCCGTTGTCGGGTTATATATATATATATATATATATATATTATTATATTATATATATTATATATATATTATATATATATATATATATATTATATATTTATATATATATATATATATATATATATATATATAATATATATATATATATATATATATATATATATATATATATATATATATATTATAATATAAAATAATATAATAAATATATATATATATATATATATATATATATATATATATTTATATAATATATATATATATATATATATTATATATATATATATATATATATATATATATATATTATATATATATATATATATATATATATATATATATATATTATATATATTATTATATATATATATATATATATTATATATAATATATATATATATATATATATATATATAATATATATATATATATAATATATATATATATATATATATTATATATATATATATATATATATATATTATATATATATATATATATATATATATATATAATAATATTATATATATATATTATATATATATATATATAATATATATATATATATATATATATTATATATATATATATATATATATATATATATATATATATATATATATATATATATATATATATATATATATATATATATATATATTAAATTTAGCAGTAGGAATTTTAAATTAAAAACAGGCAGGTCCTTACAAATTTAATATTGATAGCTAGGTTAACTTAACATTAATAAAATTTGACATGGAAAATGAGCCAAGCACTTCTTCAGAGACAGATAAGTTTAACAGCATTAGAATTTGGTTGGACAAAGTGTTTAAACAACACTCCAGACTTTTCCTATCAAAAATTAGAAGACCATTTAGCACTTCACAAGGAAAAAACATCTGACTGCAAGCCTGCAGAAGCATACAAACATAAGAAGAGTGGATATAAACATAGGCGTACGGGGCCAATCTCAATCGGGGGGGCTGATGCTATTTGCCCGAAAATTTTCTTTGCCACCCGAATTTTCAAAATGAATCAATCATTAACTAAAACGAGTTTTCCACAAAGTTGCGATGATTGTTTAATTTTAATTACTTACAGGCAACAATATAAATTTACAATATGTTATGCAAAAAACAACATAATGTTCCCCTCAATGGGAATCGGAAGCTATCAAGTCTTTCAGAAGCAATCTGAGAATCTTTTCTTTTCTCTATCTCATACAATCTCTCGCTCACAGATCTTTGTTTAATAACGCATGCAAATTAAAAGAAATACGCATTGCGACCTTTCCGTTTGCCAAAAATGTCTATCATTCTTTCCATGTCTTCTCTTATCACTTGATTTGCGTACCCCCTTTCAATGTTTATCAGTGCTATGTTGGCAAGCCTCTTTTCGCCCATGGTACTTTGAAGGTACGTCTTCAACCTTCTCAGCCCGCTGAATGACCTTTCGGCGGAACACGATGTTGCCGGAATCACTGCTAAAATGGTAGCGGCTTTGCTTTCGTGAACTCAGGCACCATTTCACACAATTCGTTTTTGTAAAGCAGATCTATAACATTTGAAGCTGTTAGTACACGATCGCGAGAGGAGTTAGCCTTACTTTGTTTGAATTGGTTAAAAAGTCTCTGTTCAACTTCTATTAGATCTTTGTCAAGACCGTAGAAGTTAGAAACGAGTTCGTAATCTGACTCGGATGGTTTTTCGCTCAGAACAACTGCACCCAAAGCACAGAGCACGTCTTGGTTATTTCCTTGAAAACGAGTTTCCAGCTCTGCCAAAACCTGGTCAAAAGATTTGTAATAGGTATTGATTCTATAGTGCTGCATAGGTGTCATCGCTTCGGTGTTCGATGTTGATGACTCGCCAACAAGATTTTGTAAACGGCGAGAAGGTTTTTTCCGTGTTATGCGTGCATCACGAAAGTTGACAAATTCAGTATTCTAGGTCCAACATTTAATGTCACTACTAATTTGATCGGCTCGTTTCCAAATCAGTTTGTAGCTTTCCTCAGTACGGCATTCTCTCAATGCCTTGATAGTAAGTGTCGCGTTTCGTCAAGCGTTAATAACATCAACCTTCTTACCCTGTAAATAAGTACTCATAGCACTGGTGTTTGACAAGATGACTTTTAGTATACACAGTCCCAGAACAAACTCAAAATCGCAGATGGCATTTAGAAGAGCTCTGCTATCGGAATATGTTTTAGCGTCTTTGTCGTTGGCCAGTTTAATGAGGGCCTTCACAATTCGCTCAATCTGTTCAGTGACAGCCTTGACCGCTTCCCATCGACAAGACCAACGCGTTACACTTTGGGATTTAAGAGTCAACATCAAATGATCGCGTTCAACTTCAATATCACCGAACATGGCGTGCCGTTTCGAACTTGCCTCAAGGAGATTGTCTAAACTCTGAATTGTTCCAAGTGCATTACGCAGTGCTTTGACTTCTGTCATCGTGTCTTGCAACACTAGGTTAAGTAAATGTCCGTAACAATGCACATATATCGCATGTGGAGAACAGTCCTTCATCCGAGCGGCTACTCCCTTTTCTTTGCCACTCATGTTTGCTGCACCGTCAAAACATTCACCAACTATATTGATCAAGTCCAGGTTGAGATCGGAGATCGCCTTCGTTATCAGATTGTATAGCGTTTTGCCATCGGTTGTTTTCGTTTCGTAAAAGCCGACGAAAGCTTCTTTTTTAACCCCATCTGCGATAAAACTAAGGCATATGGAGACTTGCCCATGACGACTAATGTCGGATGTTTTGTCCACGATCACACCAAATGGCCCACTACCGATGCAATCCTGTTGAATTCTTTCTAGTGCCGATGTCATCACGATTCTCTTCATGCCCTCTTTGGGCGATGTTCTGTTGGGCCGTGTAGAATAAGGATTCCATAATGACTTTCATATACTTGCGGTTTGTTTCAACAAAGTCCTTGTGAGAGGTATGCAGTTGTTTCATGACCGATGTTTGTTGTCTCATGTTCGATCGATAGCTTAGCCATGGCTTCTTCGTGGTTTGCGCTCGTGTGATGTTTCTTTAATCGCTCTGTTTTCTTCCAGTTGGTGAAATGAAAAGAATCATCATTCAAAAGTCGTTCACATGCGAAACAAGACGCCTCGTGATTATCAATCGAATAGTTGAGCCAGGGGTACTGTTTGTACCACCCTGCCTGGAAGTCTCTCTGGAAAGATTCCTTGCCAAACGAGGTGGGATTATACTTGTCCAGTACTGGTTGTCGAGGGCCATCCAGGTCGCTATTCAAGGCAGGAACATTACCATTGGGATTGTGGGATTCTTTTTCTTTCTGGTCAAAATTTATTTTGGGGGACTCGATTATACGAATGTCCGGTGATAGAGAGCTATCTCCAGGCGAAGAAGGAAATTCGCCCATATTCTTTGGCTGGGAATCGACCAAATCATTATAATCAAATGTAGTTGACGATATATCCAAGCTGTCTGAATTTGTATTATTTTTACGTGTTTCCGATGATTCTGGGTTCGTTCCACTTATCGTTGGAACCAAAGGGACCAAAGACAATGAAATTTCTTCTGTCTGAAATGCATCCGATGAGACTAAATTTGTATCAAATTGTGACATAGTCGTGTTGTCCATGTTGTCTTCACATTTTGACGTGTCTACAAGTTTACTTTGTTCTGATGTATTACTCTCAGATGAATTCACCACACTTTTCACAGAATCGTCCGGAGCAGGATCTAGTTTAGGTCGTTTGGCTACACCTACGGGTTCATTGTTATTTTTCCTGGTGAAGTTCAGTTGCGTTTGAGAAGGGGTTATGACTGTAGTAAATTTCACATTTTTTCCGAGATGTTGACTTTTGGCATGCCGGTCCTTGTAATCAGAGTCGATGACTTTACTGCATTCAGAACAACTAACGCAAAGACGGTAAGCGTGCTTCTGACCCTTCTGAGATAGTTTAGACCGTTTGCCATCCATAAATCTATAGGTGATGTGAGACTAGTGTCCTGTCGGTCTATTTTTATTATGAACACCGCAATTAACTCAATAGTCAATTCAATAACTTTACCACACGTAATATTTATTATAAACAACAACTCTATAATCTTAGCAAAAACAACTATTGTTTCATCTCAATCTATTTTAGGTAATTGCATAATGTCCATAATCAGAAGTTACTTGATATACTATTTATAGTTCAAGCTTATGCAAGCGTGAAGCTTGCCGCTTACGCAGGCGTGACAATGCACTTAACTGAACACAAGCAGTCTAATGAGAGTAAAATGAGTAATGTAGCATATCAAATATCAGTAATCCAAAGACTCACATCATAATGACCATATTGTAAATAATGTAAACTGTTATTGCGCGAGGTCTTTAGTATTATAGTATTCAATTATACAATTGCACAATTATATTTAAATTATATTTGGTCTTATTCTCTGATGTTTGTGCCCGAAAAACCGAAATATATTGCCCGAAAAATGTACGGTCCACCGAATCTGGGGGGGCTGCAGCCCCCCCATCTCGTACACCTATGGATATAAACTTTTTAAAGCTGGTTATGTAAGACAGTTTAGAGTCAAGTCAAACATAAAGAAAGGAGATACAGCAGTTATTTTTCTTGTACGGTGTCATGTAAATGCTGAATTGAAGAAGTTACAATACCTAGTATATGTACACCTAGACCAGCATTTTGGGAAAGTTGTTTATGCCAAATGCTAATGTCTAGCTGGGGCTGGGGGCCATTGCAAACTCTATTCCAACTTTTAGACTACATAGAATTAGGCTTGTCGGATGTTCCTGATGATAAAACATGTACCCATGAACTACAAACATGGCACATTCCTAAAAAAAAACTCCACAAGAAGCTCTATTGTTCGAAGATCTGATTTCCCCCAAGACTCGTACGAAAAAGATAAAAAAGGTCGCAAGCATGCTGTGCCAGAAAACAAAAGAGAAAGCTACAGCTCCACATCGGTTAAGGCCTGTTAAGGTGACTTACATCGTCTTAAGACAGGTTTAGAAGAAGCAGGAAGTACATGTCATTTATCAGCTGTATTGAATGATGCAGATTGTTGTCCCTGTGAGCTTAATGTAAATGATTTACCATCCAGACAAAGAATTACTAAGGCAGAGAGTGTAGGCAACAAGTTGGAGAAAGTCTTTGTTCGAAACCATATACTTTCAAGCTTAGATGGTGAGTTAGATTGTGCTAATGTTCCAAAAACCAACAATTGTGAAGAATTTATTAGGCCAAAACTATTAGTTGACAGTGAGAAGTGCAAGGAAATTGAAAGAAACATGCATGCTCAAAGTGATTGCCAGGAGTGGTTTGAGGCAAGGAAGTGTCGGTTGACAGCATCAATGTTTGGGTCTGTGATAAAAAGAAGGAAAAGCATTTATCCTACAAGTATTGTGAACTCAATCACAAAACCAAGCCAAATGAAACCTGCAAGCTGTGTATGGGGAACTAAGAATGAACAAAATGCTGTGGTGAAATATCACGAATATAAAGATGACATCAATCAGCATGTTCATATTTGCTTGTCCTGTGGGTTAGTTGTTAATCCAAAGTGGTCATGGCTTGGGGCAAGTCCTGATGCTCTCATTTTTTATGAGAAGGAAGAGTCTATGTATGGAGCAGTGGAAGTAAAATGCCCAGCATCCAAAGCCAGCATGAATGTTGTGGAAGCATGCAAAGACAAATCTTTCTATTTGGAGATTGTAAATGGAAAACCATGTCTAAAAAAAAATCACAATTATTTTCACCAATGTCAAGGTGTCATGGCAATATGCCAGTTAAATTTCTTGTATTTTGTAGTTTATACAGTATGTGATTTGCATGTGGAAAGAATTTATTTCAATGAGGAATGGAGGAAGGAAAGGTTATCTGAGCTAACCACATTTTATTACTGCGTCGCGCACTGCGCGAACGCAGTCTTAAATTGCCGTCGGTGTTTTGTTGTTTTTTTTGTTTTTTACGTTTTCGACCGGGTCTACCTGGCTGTGCAGGCGAACTAAGATACTCGTATTTTGAACTCGTTTGATTTCGTATCAAAATATTTTCGTGCTAAACACACTTAAAATAGTAATCTAAGCCTAGTAACCCCCACAAAAGAAATATTTTACTGAAACAAAAAAATCGAAAAAGTTTGTTGTCGCCGAGATTCGAACTTGGGTCGTGCGAACTAAAAGCAGGAAACTGCATGCACGATACACGTCATATAAAATAACACGTACACGAGTCGCTGTGCATGGCCGATAGCGCAGGAAATCTAGACGTTTGTTGTTCCAGAAAATACGTACAGGTAATCATAATGCTGGATTCTTGACTTGTCTTGTTTAATATGCTCACCCTGCATACACCAGCACACACTGATCATGGTAAACATACACTAAGACGGGTTTACAGACAACGATCACATGAATCAAGAAAGCCTTTTATGCCATGAAAGCCTTGTATGCTATGAAAGCCTTGTATGCCATTCTATGCCATTTTTCAATCAAACCGCACTTTCCTTTCAAGGGTAAAAACGGCCAGACCAATCCTATTGAATTTCAGTACAAACTGATTCCCAGAGTACATGATTCCAAACTCAGCCATATTCACGTATATCGTTAGCTGCATATGCCTAGCACCAATATTGCAGTTTTACCCTTATATTCTGTACGAAGTGCTCTATTTACTAGAAAACCTAAGAAAGAAACATTTTTCTAAAGGAATAAATATTGACAGGAAATGGGGCACAGTTGCATGCAACGATTGGTGCGACGCAGTAACCGCCAGAATAGGCGTCTTGTTTTTCTTATTTAATGAATAATACAATTAGCAATTAATAGTTTCCTTGCTGTTGTAACCAATATGTTGTAAGTGGTTAGGTATTTGTTCATGCATGTGGAATGAAAACACAATGTTAATAAAAACAATATTTTGCAATATAACATACTATAAATAGTGAAACTGTAGAATTAGTATAAACTTTATCAGTTCTACTCCTCATGTTCTTTTATCAATGGCCTGAAAAATAAAGTAAGGTATGAGCAAATAACCCGTATTTTGTTTAGGTCTGCAGCCATTGATATTTGCAAGGATTGTTTCAAGATGTGGAAGCTTTTGATTCTTTGTATAGCCCGTTCAACGTGAATTCGATGTTTGGCAATTCTCCTTGTTTTGATTTCATCTGCCTCACAAAATTGCTTCTGGTCACCAAGAGAAGGGGGTACATTCAGTGAAACACCCAAGGGAAGGTCCTCCTCAATCTCAAAACCCCTATCAGCCATGACTTAATCCCCTTTCTCCAGTAGCTTTAAGATCCCAAAGTCAATTGTCAATTGCTTGTCTGATGTATTGCCTGCATAAAGTTCAGATACAAAGGTCAAGTCACCCTGTGGAGAAATCCCAAGCAAACCTTTACCGGTGTTGTGGTTTTTGTACGTCGAAAATGTAGCACTTTGGCTTCTTGGTTGTGAGGGCATTTCTAGAAAAACCTCTGTACAGTCAATAATAACCCTTGTGTTTGGGTAACTTTCTTTAAAACGTTGGGGCATGTTTTCTTTGACATACTTCTGTGATGGCCAGATAGGAATGGTCCTCACCCATCTATACAAAAAATCTAGCCATGTCACCCAGATTCGGGATACTTGGGATACTGAAAGATTAAACCTATTGGCCAAATCTCTCTCCAACAAGCCTAGTCTTAGTCGTGTCAAGCACATAAATAGTTCCTCTTCTGGGGAAAGCATTCTCTTTGGCCCACATTTATCATCCATTGCTCCTTTATTTGTGCTGTTACATGACCCAATATATTGAAGCCTTTCACATGCTAGACTAAGGTAGTTGTAAAAAGCTTTGAATGTATTGTAGTTAGGGAATCCAGTATAGAACTCAAAATCAGTGCTATTATCTTCAAAACGATCAATTGAAAAACTACATTGCTGAACCTTCTCCTTTAAAACAGAAATATCCTCTCCTTGGTCTTTGTTCTTGGTCTCAAGTGTTTGAACAATATGTTCAAGTTCTAAAGTTTCATCTCTTAAAAGTGTAAGCTCGTTTGGTTGGTCATTTTGGGGAATATCCTCACTAGGGTAATCTCTTTCTCTGCATTTGGATGTTGTCCTGGGTTTGGTTGGTGTAAGCTTCAACAGTTTTTCCACACGTTTTGGAAGATTATTAAGACAAGTTTTCTTGCCACCCACAAAATGTTCTGAACAAACACGGTGATAACTACTTGGTACAAAATTTGCTCTACCAATCCAATGTAACCATTGCTTTCTCACGTTTTTATCTGAAGGAATTTTATAAAATGATAGCTCTGGATTTCGTTTAGCATTGCTATTACAGGTTGGAATACAGCAGGTTGTTCCACCACCACCTTTTTGCTTTCTTTTACAACATTCTTTTTCTGCTGTTAAACTTTTATCTGTCTCTGAAGAAGTGCTTGGCTCATTTTCCATGTCAAATTTTATTAATGTTAAGTTAACCTAGCTATCAATATTAAATTTGTAAGGACCTGCCTGTTTTTAACTTAAAATTCCTCCTGCTAAATTTAAAATATATATATATATATATATATATATATATATATATATATATATATATATATATATATACAAGTTATATATATATATATATATACAAGTTAATAATTACTTTATTTATAAAAATCGCCTAAAACAAATTTATTATTTATCTAAAAACTATTCAGTTAGCGATATATTAAAATTTTATACAATTTAACAACCTAAACCTACTTGTTTATTTTGACAGGAAGCGAGTTTAGCACAACAACGGAAGCAGAAATATAAAACAACAGCTAAAACAGCTCAAACGCTTTTTTACTTGGCGTTTATATAATGCAACAGAGCCGGGGCCTCAAAAAACCGGTTTAGGTTGGTTTGGTTTAGTTTCTTTTTGCGCCAAAATATTTATAAAAACATTGCATTTGAAACCATGCAACGAACATCGGGCAACGAACATCGCAACTTGCGTTTGTCCATTTCAAGAAGGGAATAAATCCTTATGAACTTCTCGATCTTTGCGATCTTATGAGCACTTAGGCGACAAAGTGCTAAAAACATGCAATTTCCCTTGCATTCAAAATGCTCGCTCATCTGCGGCCTTTTGGCTTGCAAGTGATGCCTACCACTTTTCCCATGATGCATTGCTATAATGCAAATTGCCCATTGTCACCCTGCCTGCCCCATCACTGTTTTGTGATATATTCTTCAGCTGCTATATACAATAATGTCCCTCATTATGTTACATATATTATACATTATGTTAGACAAATGCTGTACAGTACTGCACATACCAGTACTGTGGCCAAATTTAATTAAATTGGCTGTTTATTATCCAGAATGAATTGTCTTGTAACTTTGTTTTAGTGATATTTAAAGATTGCCATTAATAAACATGGTTACAGCCTTATAGAGCTTGCACTTTATGTTCTTCCACTGTTTTATTACTGTGATTTCAAGGATTAATCATGCATTGATTTTTTATCAAATAAGACCTTTATAGTGAACTAGAATTTTAGTCCCTGGCTACATACCAATTTAATCCAACCAGCCCACCCACTGTTCATCTTTAGTAACTGATTTTCTATATTTTATTGGCTGCTGTATAGTATATTTTAAGCACAGCAATCATGTCAAGAACAAATTTAACTGCAAGCCAGAAAACAATATTACAGAAACTGGGATGAAGGAATGATAACAGGGAAGAGAAAAGACTTGATAGAAAAGGCAGTTGAAAAAACTGGCCTTGATGAAACAACAATAATGGTAAAAATGAAATTCAGTAGTGTTCACTACCCCCTTGCACCCCCCAGTAAATCCATCCCTGCTATTGATTGTTTTTATCCTTCTCTTTTTAAAGAACTGGATTGGAAATAATAAACAAAAGATGGGGATGGCAGTTAAAAGGGGACCAAGGAAAAATTAAAATAAAATTCATTCATCGGGCTACTTTTGGAAACGATCAGCATACTTGGCATTTAAAAAGAAGTTCCTTGCTAGAAATAAAGGTATGTGTATGTAAAATTAATTAAATGTTGATGTTGTTTTAGTGAACTAGTGCATAAACCTATGGTTATGAAGCTGACTAAGATTAAACAAGGAATGTTGCTAAAAACACAACTGGGGTATGTTTCTATTTTTCACAATATTCTCTGGTCTCGATAATTGTATTTTTATGCCTTGGTTCTCCTTAAATACTATCAACATTAAATTTATGTTCAAGTACAACGAAGAAAGTCCAGAAACCTAATTCTATATATATGAAATATTGTTTTACAATATTTTTAAAAATGCTGGACCTAGAAATAAATGACTGGCAAGTGAATACTGGAAAGTTCTTAGCATATAGTTATTACAAGATGTGTCATTAATCTTATTGACTATTGTACAAATAATAAGGTGAATTATAGTAGTGCAGGTCTATCAAATTAAGGAATTGATCAGTATTGGCTGTTGTAAAAAAGAGTGCCAGTTACTGCAGGGTTAGGAAAAATAAATTATTGTGGCTAAAAATCACAATTGCATTTGTATATTTTTATCTTCGGAAATTCATAACCAACTGCATGGTCATTAAGGTATTTTGAATTTAAAATTAAGCTGTAAGTAATTTATTAGCCCTAACCCTGAATCCACCACTGAGTATAAATACCAAATCAATTATTTGTTGATTCATTCATACAATTTTATGCAAAAGACCCATGTAATTAATGTGTTTATATTACCTGTCTATGTGAATGGCCTGTATAATTCGGAAAGAACACTACTCTGGGGACTTTCTAACATTTTCACTCTCCCTGAATGTAATTTACTGTAACTGTACTGTATCATTGTAATTTGTCTTCTATTGTGGCCAAAAAAGAGAGAATGGAGTGGCTGAAAGTGAAATTCAAAAACCAGGCAGCTTAGAATATTGTCAGTTATCTCCAAACAGTATGGAAAAATATTCTAGTGCTGCTGAAGCAACAAATGCCTCTTTGCCAGAATGTGCGGACATGCCAAAGGAAAAAATGGTCCGAATAATAGTTAGAACTATTCAACAGAGTGTAAGTTGTCTGTACCTTATTCTTACAAATAGTTTAGCAGTCCTTGGACCTTTGTCATAAGTCATGGTAACAATAATAATAATTATACAATATATATAGTAGTTATAGACCACACACAAAGAAATGTGAGTCAAAGATGTATAGAATAAAAGTATATTATATTACTAAAACGTTTACTGTCCAAATATACAAACTTCGTACTCCTTCACATTCATTCTACTGCGCATGTTCCTGCAGGCCAGACCACTGTCCAACATCTCTCTTCCTCCAAAAACAATATATTAACAATTATTATTATTAGTATTTTCTTATCTTAATAATTGTTCTAGTCCATTCAGTACATAGTCTTTCAACCTCTCTGGCATTCTTCTCGTCCTGGTTGGCCTTCTTGACAACTCGGGCTGTGGAATGGGCGTTGGTGGAATAGGCGATGGAATGGTCGTTGATGGTTCATGTGTTACTGTGGGTGTCGATGGCTCTTGTCTATCTTGTGTTGTCGTTATTTCCTTCTTAGGTGGTCTACTTGGAAGAATGATAGGGGTTGTTTCCATATGCGTTGAAGACTCCTTTTTTTGAGAGATAGGTCCAGAATCTGTCAGTAGTGGTGTTGTTGGTATGATGTGGACACGATTCCTTCTTATCACCCCTTTGCGTGTTTTTAACATGTACGACCGTGATGGTTGTTCACTTATAAATTGCCCATAAATCCACGGTTTCCCACGGCGTTGTGGAGGTGGTCTAGCATAAGCATACTGACCAGGTCGTAAGGTGCTGTGCTGTGGTCCCACTGCTCCGTCATAATATGTTTTACTGGTGTTGCGTTTACGCTCTAAATCCTCTTGTATCATTGTTCTGTTTATCATTCTCGGAACAAGAACCTTGTTTGTGGTTGGCAATTTTGTTCGGGTGCGACGACACAACATCCGTTGAACTGGGGAATAAGAGTGACCTCTCTGAGGCGTGTTTCTATAGTTTAATAGAGCCGCTTGAAAATCATCCGTCTTCTTGATCATATTTTTGACAAGCTTCACTGCTGCTTCTGCTCTGCCGTTCCCTTGTGGATGGTATGGTGAGGATGTTGTATGGTGGAAGTTGTACTCTTTTGAAAATTCTTTGTATGCTCTGGCAACAAATTGTGGTCCATTGTCTGTATGACAGATACGTGGGATGCAAAACCTTGCGAAATGTACTCTTGTCTTGTCAACTATGGTTGTTGAGAGCGTATCCATTATTTCGTCTTATGTATCCATTATTTCTTATTACTTCTACCCAGTCTGAAAAATGACACCTGGTGACCAGATAACTTCGTTGTTCGAGTGTAAATAAATCTTGACTGATTATTTCCCAGGGAAGTGAAGGTAATGGCATTGACTTCATAGATTCTTTGGTCAACGTCTGACCATACTGAACACAAATCCCACAGGTACTACACATATTCTGAATGGCTTTTCTCATACCCGGCCAAAACAAGACTTCTCTTGCCATTCATATGTTGGATTCCGCACCAAGATGATTAACATGGATTTTACTGAGCATATCTGCCTGCATGGACTCTGGGATGAGAATCTGATGACATTTGTAAATTATATCATTTTGTATTGTCAGTTTGTCTCTGTAATTCCAATACTGTTGTAACTCTTTTGCAACTTTCTGTTTCTCATCTAGCCAACCTTTGATAATCACGGTATATAACTGTGACAAAATGGGATCCTTTTTTATTTCAACTTGCAATTTTCCTTCAGTAGCTTTGGTTAGACTTCCATTATGCTCATTGGCTTGCTGAGAAAGTTCAATTCTGAATACTTCAAACCCAGTGACTACAGCTCGAACTGGATCTGGAAGGGCAGCACACGAAAGGGTGTCAGCCAAATACATGGACTTTCCTTTCTTGTAGGTTACTTTGAATCTGTATCGCTGAAGTTTCATCATCATCTTTTGTAACCTTGCTGGCGCTTTATTTAATGGCTTTCTCAGTATTGTCTCTAATGGCTGGTAATCTGTATGTACCTCTATGTCATTCTTCCCATATAACCATTGATCAAATTTATTGAATGAATGACAAATCGCTAAACACTCTTTCTCAATTTGCGAATATCGCTGCTCGGTGGCACTCATACTACAGGATGTAAATGCCACTGGTCTCAGTCTACCCTGTTCATCAGGTTGAAGCAATGCACCACCCAGGCCTTTGTCACTGGCGTCTGCTTGTATGACTACTGGCTTGTCCAAATCATAATATGACAGTGTCGGCGATTTTGAAATCAGCTCTTTTGCTTTGGCGAATGCACCATCTTGCGCTTCTGACCAGTTGAATGGAACACCATTTTGAGTGAGGTTCCGTAGTGGTTGAATGGTTGCTGAAAGGTGCTCGCAAAATGGGGAGAGGTAATTCACCATACCTATGAATCTCAGTACAGCTGCCTTGTTGCGGGGTATTGGCATTTGTATAATCCCAGATATCTTTGCCGGATCGGCCTTCATGCCATCAGATGTGATGATATTTCCCATGAACTTTACTTCTTTCATCTTGAACTGTAATTTTCCTGCGTTGAGCTTGATATTTGGCTGGATGCATCGTTCCATCAGTGCAATTAAGCGGCGATTATGATCCTTCTCCGCCTGCTTATTGTTGTCTCCTTCACCAAAAACAAGAATGTCATCAGCAATGCAGATAACTCCTTCTAACCCTTCTAATGCGATTAGCAGCCTCTTCTGAAACTCCTCAGGGCGCTAGTTATCCCAAATGGTAAACGTAACCATCTATATCTTCCATAGGTTGTATGCCTTGTGGTCATGTGTGAGGACTCCTCATCTAGTGGTACATGTAAAAACCCCTCTCGGACATTGAGCATTGTGAAGCATTTTGCATTACACAGCTTATGAAGTTGTTCGTTCAGTGTTTGGCATCTGGTAAATCGGTCTAAGGATAGCTTTATTTATAGTTTGGCTGGGGTCGATGCAGATCCGGAACTTCTTGGGTGTTTCTTTAATCACTTCATTTGAACACCATGGGGTAGGCTCTTACACTTTCTTAATGATCCCTTCCTGTTCATACCGGTCTAGTGCTACCTTCTCTTTATCTCTTTTTGCTACAGGAACTCTATGGACTGGCATTTTGATGGGCGACATGTTATCTTTTGTCGTGAAATGAACAGGAGGACCCAGACACCCAAGACCTGAAAAATTTTCTGCATATTCTTGCAATATGTGTTCCACTTTCAGTTGACCCGATGGTGGTAGTTTCCTAATAGCAGGTATTTTAATGCGTTTTGAGGGTGTGGCTGGTGGTGTGCATAGCTTTGGGCAATTGTTATGAATTTGCTCTTGATGGTTACATGTAAGCAAGTTACTATTGTTAGAAGCCAATTGCTGCTTTGGACCTGCTGATGTAAATTCACTGCATCTTTCATGGGCAGGGAAGAGCTTAAAACTTGGTAAATTATTTTCATTCCCCATTTTACTGTTTACTACTGTAGATAGTGTAAATATTTCATCTGCTTTAATTGTTATCAACCCAAGTCTCTCAGAGTCAGTTCCTGAGAGTAGACCAGGTTTATTTTGCATAACTGATGGTGGTAGAACTTCAAAGGTTAAGGTTTCAAATTTATCTTCTCTTTCACAGAGAAGTTCTACTTCTCCAATGGGGTGAAGTGGTTTACTGTTGCCGTAAGGGTATAATAAATGGGAGGATTTCTGAATCTTAATGTCTGGTAAGTGTGTTTTAAGTGTTGCCTCAGAAATTGTATTACATGTAGCTGCAGTGTCTATCTGGAATTTAACTTTCTTAAATTTTGAGCCTGTTGCCGACATAGATAGGATGGAAATCATCCGTCTTCTTGATCATATTCTTGACAAGCTTCACTGCTGCTTCTGCTCTGCCGTTCCCTTGTGGATGGTATGGTGAGGATGTTGTATGGTGGAAGTCGTACTCTTTGGCAAATCCTTTGTATGCTCTGGCAACAAATTGTGGTCCATTGTCTGTATGACAGATACGTGGGATGCAAAACCTTGCGAAATGTACTCTTGTCTTGTCAACTATGGTTGTTGAGAGCGTATCCATTATTTCGTCTTACATATCAATTATTTCATATTACTTATACCCAGTCTGAAAATTGACACATGGTCATATCTTCTCTTTCACAGAGAAGTTCTACTTCCCTAATGGGGTGAAGTGGTTTACTGTTGCCGTAAGGGTATAATAAATAAGAGGATTTCTGAATCTTAATGTCTGGTAAGTGTGTTTTAAGTGTAGCCTCAGAAATTTATTACATGTAGCTGCAGTGTCTAACTGGAATTTAACTTTCATAAATTTTGAGCCTGTTGCCGACATAGATAGGATGGCAAAATATATTTTGCCTGGGCGCTCAGTGTTGACATTGTGTACCTGTTCCGCTTCTAATGTATAGCATTGTTCATTATATTGTTCAAATTCATCATGCATGTCCTCCTTATTGTCTGCCATACCCAAATGGTGTATATTTTCTCTGTATCTAGAAGGGGTTCGACTGTATCTACGGGTGTTATTCGAACTTTTTGTTCAATCAAATCTTTGGTTTGATTTCCTTGGTTGATTCTGATATATGGGCCTCCCTCCAGGTCTATGCATTGGCTCCTCCAGACATACTTTAGCAAAATGGTCATCCCCCCACATTTTGCACAGGTTTTCCCATTTGCCGGGCAGGATTTCCACGGGTGTGGCCCTCTCTGGTTCCCACGCCAGTGGCATGTCCCAGGGTCTCGTTTTAATTTCATGTCTCTGTGACTAGTCCAATGAACTTGTTCTTCTAAATTACCCTTTATTTCTAAGCCCTTTGTAGTCTCCCCCATTATTTTGTTTGTTTTCTGGGCTGATTCTATAGCTTTGGCCTCTGCCACTACATCTTCCATAGCGTTTAATGTATTGTTTGGTTTTAAATGGGTTTTCAAAAGTTCAGTCCGTATATGCTGCCACTACGTAGACCAAATACAAATTTATCACAACACATCTCATCAGTCATGTCCCCATAACCACACAATTTTCCTGTCTGCCTCACCTTTACTTCCCAGTCTTGTACAGTTTCATATGGGTCTTGGCTGCTACTCCAAAATTTGAATCTATCGACCCTCAAGGGGCTTCCAATTGTCCCCGTGTAATGAAGGCGTAATCTTTCCATCCATATCCACGGTTTCTTCTTGTCTGCTTCGGATATTTGGGGCTCGATAGTGTATCTCAACACCTGCAGTGCTTCATCCGGCAGAGCTGATCTTAACGCCGATATTTCTAGAATTGGTTGTTTATAATAATCGTCTCCGTCAGCCACAGGATCTTTTGTAATATCTCTATAGTTTGTCTGAATACAATAATCGTCAAATTGCATTTCAAAATTCTTAAAGTTTTCGACGATATTTCCGCTGAGTTTTAACTCTGGACACAGTGCCAAGCACTACAATTGGCACTACAATTCAAATGCTTGATAAAAGGTACAGTAGTCTAGTCTATTGCTACTGGTCCTACGCAGTTTAAGAGTATTTAATCAAAATTTTGTTTCAAAAGAATTCAGGTTGTTACCTCAAAGAACCTATTTCATTGACCGTTTATATACATATACTCCAAAAAGAACAGGAGACTTGTTGGAAGTTACACGAAAACGAGTATAACAAAACCCAGGTAAACGGAAGTTATGAGTTGTAAAAACGAGGCAACAATTTTTGGTGATATTTCGACTTTATTTCAAAGTGAGTCACAGACCAGTGAAAATATTTACAAGCTTGTTATCATGTGACTTTGTTTTTTAAATTCATATCTTGAGTTTACAAATCATGAGTGATTTGATTGGTTCAATTATAACTTTTATAGATGAAACAACTTGATCAATTAGGATGTCCCTCTATATGGCTTGGTTTAAATGGACGAGTACCAGAGCGCCTTTACTCTCCGGAACTGGAAGACCTGGGTGAAGACGAAATATTCACAAACTATGTTGTTTCAACAATAGTTAACAAACTAGGTAGTACAACATGTGTTAAATTGAATAGAATATGAATAATTTATTTCTAGCAATTTGGGGCTGGTTGTTCGAAAGGCATTTAGCTTAAACGGCGGATAAGCCAAAGTTTAAAAATACTCTCATGGATCTTGTGAATAGTTGAACCTGCATCTTATGCGTTAAATATGTTCTTCCATTGAAAATTAAACTATTTACCTCGAAATATTTTAGCTCAGTTGTTCAATAAATGAATAATTTTGTTT